AGTTTTAATGTGTCACAGGCAGCAGTTCAACAGGTAGAGCTGGCCCAAGCATGGGGGTGCTGCAGTGTTCATTTCCACCTGTTGTGTGGCCTTTTACAGGCATAGATTCACCACCCATTACAAAGTAGTAACTGTACACTTCGGGAGATGACTCAGGAGTAGATCCAAATGTCTTCCAGCATTCGCTGGGTTTCTATATAATGTTTCAAGCTGCAGTTCTGAAAAAGAAGGGGTATCCAATTTCTTACCTGCAGAGAGATCTGGCTCGCTCTGCCTCCCCCGCTTCCATTAGTGGCTCTCTCACATCAGCTCTTGTTAAACCTCGCCGATTGATTTCCCAGAAAGCGTACCTGGAAGACCTTCCTCCGAATCCCAGACATGCGATGTTGTTTGTTTGCCATCAAGCTGCAGCTGACTCACGGCAACCACAGACACTCAGAGCGATGTTCCCTCTAAGCTGTGGAGTCTTGTGAGCAAAAATTCTACTCTGTGAGCTACTGACATTAAAGTTGTGAGCGAGTGATTTGGCTACTGCATAAATTAGCTTGCTCTGGAGCCCTCCTTCCTGAGTTGAGACAAAAATGTATGAGCTGGAGGCTACACCCATTTGGTGTAGTGGTCAAGTGTGCGGACTCTAATCTGGGAGAACCGGGTTTGATTCCCCACTCCTCCACTTGCACCTGCTGATGTGACCTTGGGTCAGTCACAAGCTCTGGCACAGCTGTCCTTGAAAAAGAGCAGTTTCTGTCAGAGTTCTCTCAGCCCCACCCACCTCACAGGGTGTCTGTTGTGGGGAGGGGAAGGGAAAGGAGTTTGTAAGCCGTTCTGAGACTCCAAGTGAAGGGCGGGGTATAAATCCAATCTCTTCTCTTCTCTTCTTCTAAAAAACTGTGAGCTAGCTCACATTAATTTGGCTTAGAGGGAACACTGACTCAGAGGCGGTTTGCCATTGCCTGCTTCTGTGTAGCCACTGAACTTTCGCGGTGGTCTCCCATCCAAATACTAGCCAGGGGTGACCCTGCTTAGCTTCCGAGAGCTGACAAGAACAGGCTGGCCTTGTCTAACCAGGTCAGGGCTAGACACATGAGAGCTACCCGTGCTTACTGCAAATGCTCTGAGGCACCCAAATCTCTAATAACCCTAATCTACACCCTAGATGTAATCCAGTCATGGATCTCCTGCCACTCCTTATTATTTTTTTAACTTATAAACAGCTTTGTGTGGGGAGGTAGAGCTGAACTGGATCGGCTGGTCTAACCAGGTCAGGGCTAGACACCTGAGAGCTACCCATGCTTACTGCAAATGCTCTGAGGCACCCAGATCTCTAATAACCCTAATCTACACCCTGGATGTAATCCAGTCATGGATCTCCTGCCACTCATTATTATTTTTTTAATTTATAAACAGCTTTGTGTGGGGAGGTAGAGCTGAACTGGATCTGACCAGCAGTGCTGGGGAAAGGAAAGGGTTAATCCTTTCCTCCGTGGTATCATTTTCCCGATCAATCTCCTCCCCGCAGAAGGGGGGGGGGGGCTGAAATGCAAGCACAAGGGGCATTCCCTCACCACCAAAATGGTAGGCAGTGGGGAAGCCGATAAGAGACTTCCAAAAAGTGCAGAGAAACAGAAAGATGGATTATTCTCACACTCTAATCCTGTAGTGACATGTCAAAAGCTGGACCTGGCCTTCCCAATGGTGGTGGTGGGGGGTTGGGAGAGTGACTGTCGCAGCGGGTGCAGAAGAGGACAAAGTACAAGCACGTGGTCTCTCCCCGCAACCCCCAGAAAATACTCCACGGTGGGGAAACTGACCCGAGACTTACTTTTTTAAAAATACAGAGAACCAGAAAGACAGATTATTCTAACGTTATAACACTATAGCGACATGTCAGCGAATGATTAAAAAATAACCCCCCCCATGGTAGTGGGGGTGGGGGGATGACCACCACGAGGAGGGGGGGCAGGGAAAATGCAAGGAAACCTGCCACGTGGAAGGCAAGATTCCATTGTAATGCATTAGCGCTTGTAGGAACAGTGGGAAACCACACAAGCCCATCTCCACGTGGCAAGCATCCCCATTTGTTTTTAGGGGTGCCAGGTTCCCCAGCTGCTGGTGGGGGGTAGGTCTGCCAGCTCCAGGTTGTGAAGTTCTTGATTTGGGGGCGGAGCTGGGGATAAGGTTGCCAGGCACTGTCAGCGGGGGTCTCCCAGCTGTTGCCCAGGGTCATCACGCCAGGCACATTGTGTAGGGGAATCTCTAGCGTTTGGCCAAAAACTCTATGGTCACCATGGAGTTTTTAGCTGAACGCTAGAGCATTCCCTGTACGAGATGCCCAGCACAATGATGTCACCTCTGGGTGACATCACTGCACTGTGCTCTTCGGGGGTGGGGCTTTCCCTGCTGGCCGGTGGCAGATTGAGAGCCCTGGAATCGGGGGGATCCCCGCCCCCATCGTGGGGGAGGATTGCCACCCTAGCTGGGGAGGGCAGGGGCCTCAGAGGGGTACATTGCCACAGATTCCACTCTTCAAAGCAGCAGTTTCCTGCAGGGGAACTGATCTCTGTAGTCTGGAGAAGAGCTGGAATTCTGGAAGATCCCCCAGGCCCCACCTGGAGGCTGGCACCCCTAATTATTTTTAAGTAGAACTAAACCATCAGGAGATCTGTCCACAGGTCTTGAGTGTCAGATGTTGCTAACCCCTGTTCACACTAGGGCTGCCATTCCCCCCGCTTTCGAGCCCCGATTTCCGCTCCCGCGGAATCGGGGCCCGGGGAAAACCCCACCCCCGCATACGCGTTTTCCCCTCAAATGGCATGGCCCTGCCCCCAGCGTGTGACGTCACTTCCGGGTGATGCGCACATGGCGCGCGTGCGCGCGCCTAAGACGCCGGCCGGGAGCCCCCCGCTCCCGGCCAAAAAACATTTGGCAACCCTAGTTCACACGCTAGTCAGTTTATGGGTTCCCTTCCTTTTTAGCTCTTTGATTGTATGCATTCCATTCAGCACTGTCTTAACAGACCGTCTCATGTCTCATGTGTGATCCTTCGCATCGCCAGGCTTAACTCCCCTCCGTCTTTTCGCACTCAATGCTCAACGCACCTCTAGCACCGTTTCCTAATAAAATAACGACTTGCGGTTTCTCATCAGTGAACAGGCCTGGCCACAAAACGGCCCCTCTGAGACAACAAGAGGTTTGAACCGTGAACTTTTATCACCAGACTGACGTGGGAACGCTGCAGAAAAGCCGCCCGGAGGCTCTTTCGGAGATAACTGCAATCCTCTTGGAAGGTGTCAGTCTCCAAACCTGGAACGCAGGTCCCGAGGAAGGGCGCTCGGCTGACACAGAAAGGTAGAAAAGTGGGAACGATCTCCCCGTTCCGTCAGCCCCCCGCCGATTCCATCGGCAAAAAATGAACTTGATTCTTGTGGCATCTTAAACATGATTTTAGAGATGAACCAACTTTTATTCCAGCACAGGCTTTTGCTGACTAGAGGAGCTCATGCTTTTTAGTAGACAAGCATTTCTTCTTTCAAAGGGGTTGATTTTTTATTTGCCGTGAATTCCACTCCCCAAACCGTTTCCATGTGATACTCTTGTGAATCAGAGCAGCAGACTCCTGAAGATGTTATCTTTTAAACTTGACTCAATTCTATGGGAATCATAGCTCACATAGCATCTATGTATAGATGATCAGATTATGTACTAACTTAGTTTGTTATGAGTGTCGATGTATGTTGTAAAAATCTGTATCGATGACTAACTGGTTGGTTTGTAATTTTGGATTTTCAGGACAGTTGTGTACTGTTTTGCGGTTATTAGATTTCTTGATATGTTATACTTCCTCTTAATAAACATTTTAAAAATGAAGAAAAAAAAATGCTGACTGCCCTTGGAGATCTCTCTCGGTAAACACTGGCGGGGGATGGTTTCTGAGGGTAGCTGTGTCGTAGCCAGGTTTTTTGGGGCGGTGTCCAGACAGCTGCCCATCAACAGTTACAGCTAGGTGTCATCAGCATACTGGTGACATCCAAGCCCAAAACTCTGTACCAGCTGGGCAAGGAGGCATATATAGATGTTAAATAACATTGGAGAGATGATTGCCCCCTGAGGGACCCCACATATTAAGGAGTACCTAGTTGCCACCTTCTCCTGGACCATGAAGAAATGATATGAGCCACTTCAAGACTACCCCCATGGACTCCTATGTTGGCACAGCAGTGGGTCAGAAGATCAGCTTTCAAGAGGAGAAGTCGAAGGAACAGGTCTCTGTAATGAAAAAGAGCACCAGCTTCAAAATGGAAAACTGGACAAGGTTTCCCAGCAGCCAGCTTAGAAATTTAGGCCCTGTCCACACGATAAAACCTATAGGGGCTTGATGCCGCTTGTTCCGTCTGGCGCTAAGTCAACGACAGCGCCTTCTGGACGTGATTCAACGCACGGCCAAAGTTAAGTAGAATTAAATCGTTTTTTATGAAGCTCCACATGCGTTCAGAAGATTTCTGTACTCACAATCAAGCTGAATAACTGGTGGAATTCACATCTTTGTAATCTAATTCAGTTCACTGGCTCAGGGTGAAAAAGATTGCGTGCTCCGACCCCTTTGCCGTTTCAAAGAAACGAAAGAGAGCTGTAAACTCAAATCCCGCGCCTCTGGGTGGAGGAAATGACTGTTAAACAGCCAGTCGGAGGGGTGCTTTGGGATGTCTAAAGACTTCAATTCCCAGGGGCAACTGCTCTTAAAGATATATGGCAGTTCTACTTAACTACAGTTAAACGCTGGCTGGGGGCAGCACACCGCTTTAGCGGTCATCAGATCCCACAAAAACTCCTGGGAACCGTAGTCTGGCAAGGGCGGCTCTGTTACTCCACTGTCTGCGATACTGCAGTTCCCAGGATTCTCTGGGGGGAAAGAAGGATGGTGGTATCGATACACCCTTAGCTATATCAGCCCCACCGGGCATCAGGGATGTAGAAGAGGAAAAAGAAAGAGAGTGACTTACTGTTTGTCGTCTTTGAACCACTGAAACTCAGCAGGGGGGACAGCCATGGCTTCACAGCGTAGCAGAGCCGGCTTTCCCAGCAAGGAAGGAGAATCTTTTACGTCCGAGATGGTTGGAGGGTCTGGGGAGACGGAGAGAGAGGGAGCAGAGAGGTGTGTTAGTGGAAGTGATGCGGCATCTCTGCCTTGCAGGGTCATAGAACCATAGAGTTGGAAGGGCCATCCACGGCCATCTAGTCCAACCCCCTGAACAATACAGGGAATTCACAAATACCTCCCCCTCACATACAACCAGTGGCCGCTGTTCCATGCCCAGAAGTTGACAAAAAACCTCCAGGATCTCCAGCCCAGTTTGCTTCCTGACCCCAAAGTGGAGATCAGCATTTTCCTGGGTGTGTAAGAAAGGGGCCACGAGAACTAAGCACTGAGGGAGCCCTCCCTCCCCTCCCTCTCACGGTCTGCCTAAGTTCACAGACTCAGCATTGCTGCCTCTGTCTGAAAGCCTCCAAAGAAGGAAGAAGAAGAAGAGGAGGAGATTGGATTTATACGCCGCCCTTCACTACCCAAAGGTGTCTCAGAGCGGCTTACAAACTCCTTTCCCTTCCCCTCCCCACAGCAGACACCCTGGGAGGTAGGTGGGGCTGAGAGAACTCTTGACAGAAACTGCTCTTTTTCAAGGACAGCTGTGCCAGAGTTATGGCTTGCCCAAGGTCATCCAGCCAGGCGCAAGTGGAGGAGTGGGGAATCAAACCCGGTTCTCCCAGATTAGAGTCCGCGCACTTAACCACTACACCAAACTGGCACCTCCCGAGGAAGCCTGTTCCACTGAGGAACCAGTTCTAACAGTCAGGAAGTGCCTCCTAATGTTTAGCCGAAAACTCATCGTCCTCAACAGACGGCTGGCACACAGGCCGTCTCAAGCCAACTGAGAGTCTCCACCTACCTGATCTTTTTAGTTGGAGATGCTGGGGATTGAACCTGGGGCCTTCTGCATTGAAGCATCTACCACTGAGCCATGGCTCCACCCCTTCCTATTTCCTAGTGCCCATTCCTGATAAATCACTATTCGTACTGACCTCATTTTTGCCTTTGGGGGAATCCCTTGTTGCAGTTCTTTACTACGGCCAGAACAGTTATTCTTCAGGTATTGATATCCTGTCCAGTATTTATTAGTTAAATTCATGGCACGAATACACTGTGTCAGCTGATAACATACATATATGAAAAAGAAGGTGCCATGGAGCGCATAGCCTACAGTTTGACCGAGGTACCTTTTGAAGAGTCAATAACCTGTTACAGGGCATTGTGATTTGCGGTAGGCCTTTAACAAAAGTAACAAACACCGTCCTGCCTTTTAAGAGAGCCCATTTGGTGTAGTGGCTAAGAGCGGCAGACTCTCATCTGGAGAACCAGGTTTGATTCCCCACTGCTCCACGTGCAGCCTGCTGGGTGACCCTGGGCTAGTCACAAGTTCTCTCAGAGCTGTTCTCTCAAGAGCAGTTTCTTTCAGAGCTCTCTCAGCCCCACCTACCTCACAGGGTGTCTGTTGTGGGGAGGGGAAGGGAAAGGAGATTGTAAGCTGCTCTGAGACTCCAAGTGAAGGGTGGGGTATAAATCCAATCTCCTCCTCCTCCTGCCCACTTTATAAATATACTCCGCCAGAGTCTCAGAGCAGCTGGCAGGAATACAGCTGGCCAGCAAGCAGGAAAAATGTTGGTGGGCACCACGGCACTCATTACTCAGGGACCCTGGGGCAACTGCGCTCTCTCTCTCTCGCTCGCTCAGCCAAACCTACCTCACAGGGTTGTTGTAAGGATAAAAATGGATGAGGGCCAAATGGTGTGCACTGTCCTCAGCGCCCTGGAGAAAGGTCCCGATCAAAATTTACTAATAATCTCCTTGTTAAAGATGTACGAAAAGGCATAATAGTCCATCCATAGTTATTCACAGTTCAAAATCTACTTCTGCGGCTGCAGCTCCTGCACTGGTAGCGCATGTTCTGCACATGTTGCCGTAGTGTCCACATGCACGCAGGGACACTGGCAGTAGTGCTGCTAGCCCTCAATGGTCCCGGTCAAATAACTCTCTCTGTTTCCACCTCTTAAAGACACCTGTTCAAACTGTAGGCACACCAAGTCTCCAGGTGGGGCCTGGGGATCCCCCGGAATTCCAGCTCATCTCCAGACTACAGAGATCAGTTCCCCTGGAGAAAAGGGATGCACTGGAGGGTGGACTCTATGGCATTGTGCCCCAATGAGCTCCCTCTCCTCCCTAGGTTCCATCCCCAAATCTCCAAGGGTATCTACCCCCCAATCCCTTGCCAGTAGGCCGGGTGGACCTAGCAACCCAAACTGTTAGAGACTCTGCAGAGGGAGCAGAACTGCGAAGATCGACTGCTTCCGATGCTGCAAATTGTAACGAAAATTAACGACGGAGCAATATAGGGACAGTCGCCAGAAAAATAGTAAACAGGGACCAGCTGACGCACATGACTGTGGACAGTGACAGAGGGGCCCTTGTAAGTAAAAATAATAATAATAATAACCGTCCTGAACAGATGACTCCAACGAGCCAGAGTTGGCACCAGTTTTCTTGGCAAGACGGCAGGGTGAAGACAGACGTTATCTTTAAAAGGGAGTGGGTGTGAGATCATCAGATGTCGGATGTATTCTTCCCTGGTCCCGCTCTAGGTTTTACTCCTCAACCTGCCTACATGTCACTGATGGATGAAAAAGCAGCTAGCTATCTGCAAGCTTGCTGCTTTATTGTATTCCACCGTCCACCCAGAGAATGCCGGCATGTTTGCCCACTTTATTTGTTCTGTACCCTCTTTTCTTGTCCTAAATTCGCTGTTCATGAAATCAGCTTCCAGGAAGGCAGCTGAGCGTAATGCTAGCCAATCAGTCCTGTGCACAGCCAGATTCTTCGAAAGGGGAGGTCATTGCTCTCTGACGGACACAAAGGCTGGCCAATCAGTGCTATGCAAATATTTTTTTTTTTTGCTCTAAGCTAGATGTTCCACCACCCATCAGGCTCACAGCTAACGCGAGGGGCCCACAGGGCCTGGCCCCCTAGCATTTCTTCTGGGCCCCCTCCTTCCTGGACTAGCCCCAAATTGAATTAATGTCATTAACTTTGATTTGATTAGCTGCACCCCCCAGGTCCCCTCCCCCCAAAACCCCTAGCTACGGGGCTCATTCTTGGGAGACGTTTGGTAATGATCATGCTTCTATAGCGATCTTGCCAAAGAAATTGTATGCGTCAGTCTTCATCCTCAAAACATGCTAGTCGAGACTGATAGCATCATAAAGAGGCTGGACCCTATATCTTTTAAATGCAACTTCCATCCCTGTGTTCCATTTTGAGGGGCTTTGCAAGACCTGAGCCACAAGCATTTTTTGCAGCTTAGATTTAGCAACGCTTCTTACTTCAATACCTAAAATGTACATTGTCTCGATTCACCAAAATATGAAAATATCCTACCCTGGTTGGGTTTTTTTGAACTTTTGAACTATGGTGCTGGAGAAGACTCTTGAGAGTCCCTTGGACTGCAAGAAGATCAAATCAGTCGGTCCTAAAAGAAAACCCTGACTGTTCCCTGGAAGGCCAGATAATGAAACTGAAGCTCCAATACTTTGGTCATCAAATTAGAAGGGAGCACTCACTGGAGAAGACCCTGATGCTGGGAAAGATTGAAGGTCAAAGAAGACGGGGACGGCAAAGGGTGAGATGGTGTCATAGACACTGAAACTGAGCAAACTCCAGAGGACGGCGGAAGACAGGAAGGCCTGGCGTGATGTAGTCCATGGGGTCGCGAAGAGTCGGACTCGACTGTGCGACTGAACAACAACAACAAGGCATTGGAAAAAACAAGGCAGCCTTGAATCTCAGTAGGAGAAAAAAAAACCTGCTTATTTTGGGGAGTCCATTTTCAACATGCCTCGTACTGCACAAGCACGCAAGCAGGGAACAAGTTGCATGAACTGGCTGAAAGGGATGATACTTTTACCTTCGCTTTTCTCCCCACGTGTTAACACCAGCTTGGGCTGTGGAACAGACCTGAAACAGGGGGAAAGACATACTCCTCCTTCCCATAATGCTTTAGCCCCAATCCAAAAGGCAGCACCGCAAACGAAAATATCGGGATAGCCAATCAGAGATCTCCCATGTAACGATTAGCTTAGCCCCCCTAGTACTGATTCCCATTCTAGGGCTAGAACACCTCTATAGGCTCCAAAGCTCCCAATACAGTTTAAGGGAGGTGAGAAGTCGGATCACAGAGGTGCTTTGGGGAGCACTTACAATTGACAGTGATGAGAACCCGTTTCCTGTCCGGTAGCGATACGCCGTTCGCCGTGATGCACTCGTACTCTCCGGCCTGCTGTCGGTTGATCTCCGTAATCTCCAGATATTCCCCTTCGCTGGTGAATCCATCTGCGGGGGAGGGAGCGGGGGGTGGGGTTGGGGAAGGGGGACAGGGCCAGCGGTAGGGAGACAGACACAAACACAGACTTACACACACGAAAACACATACGACAACACAGCAGTTATCAACCCTTCCTGCACTCAATGGCTGCCTTGCACTGGGGGGTGAGGGTGTGAGTACAATGCAGGCAGTACGGTTTAGGAGCGAGAGGGGTCCTAGGCAGGGATGTCCTATTACCTACCAGTTCAGCGGGAATTTAGCCTGCACAACTGGTGAACTAGGAAGCCAAACACAGTTACTAATGGGAAGCCTATCAAGGACTCGGGAAACCCGCTTTTGCAAAATGCAAAGCTTGGGGGAGTCATCAGGCAATAGCCTAGGCAACAACACAGGCAGCTGGTGTTCTGTGTTCAGCTTTTAGGGTTGCCAACGTCCAGGTGGTGGCTATTACAACCAATCTCCAGGCAACAGAGACCCAGCCCGCTTTCCCCACAGCCATATTGAAGCTGCATGGGGCAGGAGACCTTCCTCAGCCCATACCGTGGGGCAATGCTCCCTCTAAGCTGCGGAGTCTTGTGAGCAAAAATTCTTTTTTGTGAGCTGCTGGCATTTAAGTTGTGAGTGAGCGATTTCGCTGCTGCATGAATCAGTTTGTTCTGGAGCCGTCGTTCCTGAGCTAAGACAAAAATGTGTGAGCTGGAGGCTAAAAAACTGTGAGCTAGCTCACACTAACTCAGCTTAGAGGGATCACAGCCGTGGGGCTGAGCCAAACCGGACCACCACAGAGTTTTAAACTGACATTCCACACAGTTTCTGTGTGGCTGCGGGGGAAGCGACTCTGAGTGTTCCCTCTAAGCTGAGTTAGTGTGAGTAAGCTCTCAGTTTTTTAGCCTCCAGCTCGCGCATATTTTTTTTTGTCTTAGCTCAGGAAGGATGGCTGCAGAGAAAACTAATTTATGCAGTAGTGAAGTCGCTCGCTCACAATGCCAGTAGCTCACAAAGGAGAATTTTTGCTCACAAGACTCCACAGCTTAGAGGGAGCATTGGCACAGAGTCTGGTCTGGGGAACTCGGGCCCAAGTCATTAAAAAATGTCTTGTGTATCTTGCCCCAAAGATTCGGATCAGTAGGCACTGGGTTGAAGGCAGCTGCCAAGGGGGATGGAACAGAGTTAAGCATTTTCTACGTATGTTCTTAACAAAAACTGCAGGTGGCAGACACCATCTTAACAAATGACATTCACGCTGCGCTTCCCTAAGAGGGGGATGATGCAGACAACATACAAAACCAAAGTGAGTCCCCCCCCCCCAAAAAAAAAAACCCTGGTGTTTTGTTCATATAAATGTTTACACAGATTTACCGAAAAATCAATGGGCTCGGACAGGAATAACTCTACAAAGGATCACACTATTCTTTAGCTGGGTGGCAGCACTCAAGCTAGACGCTAGTTTGAGTCTGACAGAGACAAGGAGAAGCCCCACAATTGCCACTGCAAATACTATTGAGCTGGGGGGAGCAAGTCTCCCAATGATTATCCCCCATTCACCACTAATCCTTCACAGGCTGGTGTGAGGAAATTAGAGGGGGATCGGGGGGGGGGGGCGTACTGGCATCGCATGGGCACACAGTATCATTTTCAGCCAAAAACTGGAAGCGACACCATTAAATTAGGCTGATGCTGTCGGATTTGCCCCCAAACCAGGGTTGCCAGTCTCCTGGTTACAACTGATCTGCAGATTTATTTATTTATTTATTTATTGGACTTTTACCCTGCCCTCCCACCAAGGCGGCTCAGGGCGGCTTACAGTAGTTAAAAACCAGTATACAGTTAATACCAATTATACGTCTAAAACAATACATTACAATATCATAAATACAGCTTATTAAAATTAGAATGTGGCGGCCGTCTGTTGCAAAGTGCTAGTGCTTATGTGAAACAATCAGTGTGGCCAGGTCCGAACCCTGCTTCGGACACCAGATGACCAAGATCAGTTCCCCTGGAGAAAATGGCTGCTCTGGAGGGTGAACTCTACGGCATTATGCACCGCTGAGGTTCTCTCCTCTGCAAAAACTGCCCTCCCCAGGCTCCACCCCCCCCAAATCTGCAGGTATTTCCCAACTCAGAGCTGGCATCCTGTATAGAAATATTGATTTCTAAATGTCTCCTGCATTCTCCTGTGATATCTTTCTGATAACAGGCTATGCCTTGTTTCCTGTTACAAGCCAAATGGTGGGCCCCATGGCCTCAATTGCATGCCATAAACCCACATTCTTCACACTTCCATGCTGGAAGCTAGGCCAGCGTGCAAAAAGTCACGTAGCCGATGGGGAAGGCTGGAGGTTGGGCCACCTGACTGCAGAGGGAGTTCCCAGACTCCCAGCCTATCCCCACTTGCACCCATGACAACCAAGAATTGGCCACTCCCCTGCCCACTCGCAGTTGGCTGCATGGCCACAGCTGATTGTGACTGGAATGGGCCTATAACTGGTCATTCCCAATGGGAGAGAGCTCGGTTCTCTCTGCTGCTCTTGTGTTCTGTTCTTGTTCCTGTTCGTGAGCTCTCTGCTCCCTACTTGTTGTTTTATTGCACCTGGACATGTGGTCCCTGGGAGAACAAAGACCTGCTTTGTGAACTGGATGCATGCTTGCACAAGATGGGATTACTACTAAAAATCCCTTGATGCTCCTGGATTATCACAATGGACTGTTCTGGATTGATGAATGTTCCTGACATGGTAAATATGAAGCATTAATGTTCAGTTAAGGCAAACAGCCCTAGCCTTTCTGTTTTGAAAGCTTTATAGTCTAATTGCAATGCTCTGTGTTGAATAAAAACTTATTCTTGTTTTTAAATGGTCTCTGATGTGTAACTGAGTTCCAAGGCTAAACTCCTGTGCCTTCTGCTCACCCTATAAGCTACCTTTGTAAGAATTAGGCATGTATCTTTAGGTAGAGATGCTAATGTGTAAAACCCAGATGCCAGCTAAGAATCTGAACCTTGCTCTTAGGCTGGAAGGGGACTCTAGTTAAAAGACCTTTATGTATATTTTTAATGTTATATTTGTTTTATTGTTTTAATCCTACCAATAAAATGTTAATGAGAAAAAAAAATAAAATAAAAGAGGTTCTGGTGGCAAATTGTTCTGAAATCCAGAGAGGGTAGCCTACCTCTGTGGGTTGTTGTTTAATGTGACTGAAAAAATATAGGATTGCCTCTCATCCCTGGACTGGCCTGAGGGGTTCAATCCTATACACATCCCCACCCAAAACTCTATGTCGGCACGTCTGTCTCCACCCCCCAATTCATCCTGGTGGGTTGTCCACCCCATCCCATTCTACCAGCTTCTAATATTTCACTAGGTCGATCTAAGAACTAGAAACTCATTTTAAAAATAAAGGATCTGAAAGGCTAGAAACGCCGAGATCTGCGAACGTTGCCCCTCTTAAAGGATCTGTGTAGAAATGCGAAACATTTCTTTGGGACGAACCCTGCTTCGGACACCAGCTTTATGCAAATGTCAGTTTTGGTTTTTCTACGCCTGTCCTCTTTCATGGTCACAGCCACAGAACAGCTGCTCAGAACAGTGAGCGAGGACCAGTCAAAAGGGGACGACCCGATCCCTCCTCCCCCCTCTAGCCTCCCTTACCTTTCAGCTGCCGCCAAGTTACCGTCGGCTCTGGCTTCCCCTGGGCGAGGCAGAGTAAGTTCACGTTGCTTCCCTCGTTAACGGTCACAGCAGACGAAATGTTCACGATCCGAGCTGGGACTGTGGAGGTTGGAGGAGACTGGTGGTGAGTACGGAGACAGTTCTGGCCTCCCACCACCAGGGGGCGACATCGTCTCTGAGGCAGCACCCATCCCAACCCCTCCAAGGAACGTGTTCAGCTGCCTTCTGTAGCGGCAGACCACTGGCCCGTTTATGGTGATTTCCTAAACAGAGTTACACCCTTCTAAGACAGCTGATTTCAGCGGGCCTAGAAAGGTTGTGCCTCTGCTTAGGATGGCATTGGTAGTCTAGTATGGCCTCATGCAGCTGGGCTCAGCTCTCTATGGTCTCAGGCAAAGAAACAGCTTTCCGTAGTCAGAGAATTAAAAAGTTGGAAGGGGCCTATTGGCCATCCAGTCCAAACCCCTGTGCAATCCAAGGTAACCTAAAACATTCCTGAAAAACAGTCAGGCAGCCTCTGCTTAAAAACTACCAAGGATCAAGAAATAGGGTTGCCAGGTCCCTCGGCTGAGTGGGCAGGGGATGAGGGATGCACTTATTGGGAGGGAAGGAAGAAGAAGCAGGAAATAAACATGATGTGCCTGCATCACCTCCGGGTGATGGAGGCACATCGGGGATGTTAGGGGCGACACTCTGATTTGTGGGCAAAGCTCTATGGTAGAATTAGCTTCAAACCATAGAATTGTGCCCAAAAACCAGAGCAATGCCCCCCTGACATCACCAACATGCCTATGTCCGGGTGGCGTAGGCACACCATGTTTACTTTTGGTTTATTGCCTGTTTTTTTGGGGGGGGGGATTTCCCCCCAGTTTCTGATAGCCCTGAACCGTTTTTTTGCCTGTTTTGGGGGGGTATTTCCCCCCAGTTTCTGATAGCCCTGAACCGGTGGCAGAGGCTCTAAACTAGGGGATCCCCCACCCCCAACTGGGGACTGGTAACCCTAGCAAGAACCCACCACATCCCTGGGCGACCATGACTGGACCATCGAATTTTACCGGGACTTGTTTTATGAGTGTAAAGTTTCCGATCCTTTCCTGTTCTGGAAGGATCCTCTGCATTGGGTCCCACTCCTCCTTAATTTCAGTGCAAAGCGGACCATTCAAAGTAGAATTAGCTTCAAACCATAGAATTGTGCCCAAAAACCAGAGCAATGCCCCCCTGACATCACCAACATGCCTATGTCCGGGTGGCGTAGGCACACCATGTTTACTTTTGGTTTATTGCCTGTTTTTTTGGGGGGGGGGATTTCCCCCCAGTTTCTGATAGCCCTGAACCGGTGGCAGAGGCTCTAAACTAGGGGATCCCCCACCCCCAACTGGGGACTGGTAACCCTAGCAAGAACCCACCACATCCCTGGGCGACCATGACTGGACCATCGAATTTTACCGGGACTTGTTTTATGAGTGTAAAGTTTCCGATCCTTTCCTGTTCTGGAAGGATCCTCTGCATTGGGTCCCACTCCTCCTTAATTTCAGTGCAAAGCGGACCATTCAAAGCGGCTGCTTTCTTCACTGGGACTGATTGCTGTCATCTGGAGATCAGCTGTGATTCTGGGAGAATTCCAGTCCCCACCGGGTGGTTGGCAACCCTTAAAGAAACCCTATAGGGCACGGACAGCTTGCTGCAGGCCTGCAGCCAGGATTTTGTAGCTTGTGGGGCAAATATTGTGTTTGGTGGGGCTGCCATTGTTTTTCTGTCTGTACACAACTGTACTTTCGGCTCCTATAAATAAATGGACATGCAGGATCTCCGTGAGTCCACTGTGCCACGTGAGCAGGGACTGAGTCAGACCACTGTTCTATCATGATCGATATTGTCTACTCTGACTGGCGGTGGCTCTCCAGGGCCTTTCACATCACCTGATCTATTTAACCGGAGATGATGGGGACTGAACCCAGGACCTTTCTGCTTAGTGCTCTATCACTGAGCCATGGCCCCCTCTCGTCAGATAGCTAGGCTGTAGAAATCCCCTAAAGTTCTTGAAACTGAAGACTCTGCACACATTCTCCAAAGAAAGTCCTTCTGCACGTAATACCTGTTTTCTGTTATCTTCCAGAACCAACTTGGTTCAGAAACTGTGACGAATTTCTGGAGCTGTTCAGTTCTACAGAGAGGACCAAGGTTTATAGATTGCTGGCACCCCTACCAGGGCTATTTTTGTAGAAAAAGCCCAGCAGGAACTTATTAGCATAATAGGCCACACCCAACAGCAGTAACTCATTAGCATATTAGGCCACACCCCTGACAGCACAACTCATTGGCATATTAGGCCGCACCCCCATGTTACCAGAAGTGTGGTCATCCAGACACACCCACCTTTTGCTTCTTATTCTGTTTACCCAGGGCTTTTTTGTAGCAGGGACTCCTTTGCATGTTAGGCCACACACCCCTGCATACATTCTCCAAAGAAAGTCCATCCGCTCGTAATACCTGTTTTCTGTTATCCTCCAGAACCAACACGGTACAGAAACTGACGAATTTCTGGAGCTGTTCAGTTCTACAGAGTGGACCAACCTGCCCCAAAATAGCCCTGCCCCTTCCTCTTTTGCTGGTTTGAAACCCAAGTGGCGATCTTTAAATGATTGCTCTGTGGGGCCGGGCCTTTAGGGAAGGGGGCGGAGCCCCGAATCGCCCCACCGTAGCTACGGGCTTGGCTTGCGGTGCTATTTCTAAATGGGAGTAGATCATCCAACCATAAAATACCAAGAAAGAAGGAGAGACGTCTCCCTAAATAGGCCTGGAACTTGCTTTCAACACCATGGCCCGGTTTGGGAAGTAGTAACCCAGAAGGGGTGCCTCTGAGCTAGGATTACCGACTCTGACTTGGGAAATCCCTGGGGATTTGGGGGGGGTGGCGGAGCCTGGGACGGGTGAAGTTTGGGGAGAGGATTTATTTATGGAGCTCAACAAGGATGTGATGCCATACAGTTCACCCAGTGAAGCTGCCATTTTCTCCAGGGGAACTATCTAGGGATGCCAAGTCCCCCCAGGGGGCGGGGAAACCCCCGCCCGGGAGGCCCGTTCCCCGCCGCCGCCGGATCGGGCCCCCGGGGGGAACCCCACCCCCAAAGCACGTCACACGGAAGTGACGCAAGCACGTCGGAGGCGTTAAGGGCGGGGCCACAATCATCCGAGGGAAAACTCTATGGTTTTCCCTCGGATGATTGTGGCCCCGCCCCCAACGTGCTTGCATCATTTCCGTGTGACGTGCTCGCGAAGCGCGAAGACTCCCGGAGCAAGGCTGGACTCCCCCGCTCCGGAACAGGTAAGCACTTGGCAACCCTAGAACTATCTCTGTCATCTGGACATCAGTTGTAATTCTGGGAGAGCTCCAGGCCCTCTCTCTCTCTCGGTCTGGCTGAACCCTATCTGAGCAGCTCTAGGGAGCAGAGAATTCCAGGCAGGCCTTGAACTCTGGCTCTTCTCATCTTAAAACTAAGCATCCTTAAATTATTCACAGCCTCTGATGGATCCCACATCCACTGGGGGCGGAGAGGAGTTCAGGAGTGTTCTCGTCACAGGCCGTTCTCCTACTCACGGCCGTTCTCCTCGATTCCGTGTCTGGCTCCCGTCCCAACGCCTTTCCTTTTATTTCATTCACACATTTCCTGACTGATTTAACCACGCTTGTCTCTCCCCTCAACTGCCATTACGAGTCCTTTGTGCTGGAGTGACCTATTCCTGCCCCATGTTTCTTTGCGTAGGTTCACGGTGAGGGCACTGTTGGTGTTTGGGGGTGTGTGTGTGTGAATGCCAGGCAAATTTCCCGGAGTACAAATTGAAGCTGGAAATAAGGACTTTAAAAAAAAATGGCTCTATGTTGTCAGCAAGGATATTGAGCCAAGTTGTTTTAAAAAAAAATCAGCCAAGAATCAGAAATTCAGAGATGATTTCCCCACCTTATCCCTTGATGGTGCTCCTGTGAAACAAGAACCGTTTTTATGGCGTAATCCTAAACCAGGCTAGCCTTCTTCTAAACAAAGCTAGCCTGATCTCCTCAGATCGCAGAAGTCAAGGCCGACCCTGCTTAGGACTTGAGTAGGAGATAGGGGTCCCAAATCCCCCCGGGGGGGCGGAATTTCCCCCTGTTTCAAGCCCCGATTCCCGCTCCCGCGGAATCGGGGCCCGGGGGAAACCCCACCCCCGCGTGTGCGTCACCCGGAAGTGACGTCACACGCTGGGGGCGGGGCGACGCCATTTGAGGGGAAAACAAAGAGTTCTGGAGAAAACAGGCACTGTGGAAACACCTAGGGATTCCACGGTGGGGAATAATTTACCGGGGGGGCGTGGGGGCCGCTAACAGAGATGGACCACTTCCTCTCTCGGAGAGGTGGAGGTCCCTGCAACACATATTAAAATAATGACAGGCATTTTGATAAACATTTTATAAACAGCTGCCCCACCCCAGAAACAGGTGCCTTTCCAGTGCCGCCTCAGCACATCCCTGCACTGGGTGCCTTCTGGGTTAATTCCCAATGGCTGTTTTCTCTGCCCCAGGCGGAAGAGCCCAAAAAAAGAAATTGCCTTTTTCCTGACTGGGCCTAATGATCCCCATTGTCTGCCCCCCCCATAGGTTGGGGGGGGTGACGTAGGCGACAGCGAATGATGGAGCAGCTGGGAACAGCTGTTTCCTGAAGCCAAGGCGGCTTCGTTCCGGACCAGGTCCAATCAGCTCCTATTGTACCACTTTTTCTCAGCTCCAGCAGCCCTGGGGAAAGGGAGGGGGGGTAATTACGGGGTGGATAGCATTTCAGTTCTGGCTTTTGCCAATGCTGCAGAAATCCCGGAGGCGGCTGAGAATCAGCAAAAGCGCCAGAAGAAAGGCGGGGAGACTCTGGCTGCTTCGACAGCTGGTGAGAGATTCCTCGGCCAGGGCAAAGTGTGGCCCTTTTTTTGGGTGGTGAGGGGGGGACGTTTGTATACAGACATTTAGAGCGACCACATGCAAAGACAGTCTGGGTTCCTTCGCTGTTACCACTTAAGGAAGTGCAGCTGGTCACGCGAAGGCAAAGGAAGTGGAATCTGCTGAGACGGGCTCTTCTACAATGGGAACTCAAGAATTCATCACTCCTCTCCGGGGTGAGGCTTGATTGGATCAAACCATCCAGTCCAGCACCCTGCCTGACAGTAGCTACCCAGACGCCCATGCGCTTCCTTTATTGACACTCCCTGACCTCTGTACTGGACAGAGCAAACATTAGTAAATTCATTTCTTGCCTTTCTTCCATCCGAGCACGGCTCATAGTGGGGAGAGGGTTTCCCAACTGGTTGTCCACCCAGATCCCGTCCAGACCTAGAAGTGCTTTGGTTAGGGTTGGCATTCCCCCCCGATTTCAGGGGCCCCAATCCACCACAGTCCAGCTGGCTGGTGGTGAAGCCCCACCCCAAGAAGCCCCCTCCCGGCACCGCTGGCATGATGACATCACTCGCATTTCCAACGTTGGGGCTGACGCTCTAGGTTTTGGGCAAAACTCTATGGTTTCGAGGCCCAAAAGACCATAGAGTTTTGCCCAGAACCTAGAGTGTCTCCCCCAATGTTGGAAACGCGACAACATCACTCCCGGGTGATGCCATTGCGGTGCGCACGCAAAGTACACACACCGGAAGAACTACAGGAAGGGTCGGGAGTCCCCCTGCCGGCAGCCAGGTAGGACCTGGCAACTCTACCTTTGGTTCAGCAAGGGGGCTAACTATCGTGTGACTTTGGACTAGACCCTTGGACCCATGAAGAGAAGTATGTGTGCACCCCACACCGTGTCTACTCCCAAGTTAGACCAATAAACAAATAAATACAAGTAAGTAGGAGATGGGACTAGAGATGTAAAATTTCTGGAAATTTTGAAGCTCGGAAAAAAACCCGTTTCCCCCCCAGTTTTTTTTTGGGAAAAAACAGAAATTTTTGGAAAAATTGAAAAAAATGCTACATTAGCATTTCTTTTGTCTTTTCTAGATTGAAAGTCATTCTGTTACTTTAGGAACATAAAATATGACTATGGACATTTTTACTTGGCATGAAATTATCACAACTTGCATGTGTATCCAAACAATTATTACAAGGCACTCGGTCTCTAAAAGGTCCGTCATCACTGGACTAGACCCTTGGACCCATGAAGAGAATTATGTGTGCACCCCACACCCTGTCTACTCCCAAGTTAGACCAATAAGCAAATAAATACGAGTAAGTAGGAGATGGGACCCAAACTGGAAGCGGCTGTGGCTCAGTGGCAGAGCATCTACTTTGTAGGACAGACGGTCCCACTTTTAGTCCCCACCAATGCTCCCTCTAAGCTGCGGAGCCCTGTGGGCAAAAATTCTACTTTGTGAGCTACTGGCATTAAAGTTGTGAGCAAGTGATTTGGATACTGCATAAATTAGTTTGCTCTGGAGCCATCCTTCCTGAGCTGATACAAAAATCTGTGAGCCGGAGGCTAAAAAACTGTGAGCTAGCTCACACTAACTCAGCTTAGAGGAAACATTGGTCCCCATCGTGCCCAGCGGAAAGGGTCAGGTAAGCTGGAGACCTGAAAGATCTCCATCGGAGACCACGGAGAGCTGCTGCCGGTCAGAGCAGGCAACACTGACGTTGATACGTAAGGCTGCCAGTCTCCAGGTAGTGGATGGAAATCTCCCAGCATTACAGCCGGTCTCCAGTTAAAAGAGATCAGTTCCCCTGGATAAATGGCTGCTTTGAGAGGTGAACTCTATGGCATTAAACCCCACTGAAGTCTCTCCAAACTCCGTCCTCCCCAGGCCCTACCCCCCTGAATCTCCAGGAATTTCACAATCCAGAGCTGGCAACCTGTTGGCACACCAAAATATGCCAGCTTTGTGTTCTTGATCCGGGCCTTCACATCTCTAGATGGGACCCAAACTGGGAAGCGGCTGTGGCTCAATGGCAGAGCTTCTACTTTGTAGGACAGACGGTCCCACTTTTAGTCCCCACTGTGTCCAGCGGAAAGGGTCAGGTAAGCTGGAGACCCGAAAGACCTCCATTGGAGTCCACGGAGAGCTGCTTCCAGTCAGAGCAGGCAACACTGACGTTGATACGTAAGGCTGCCAGTCTCCAGGTAGTGGATGGAAATCTCCCAGCATTACAGCCGGTCTCCAGTTAAAAGAGATCAGTTCCCCTGGATAAATGGCTGCTTTGAGAGGTGAACTCTATGGCATTAAACCCCACTGAAGTCTCTCCAAACTCCGTCCTCCCCAGGCCCTACCCCCCTGAATCTCCAGGAATTTCACAATCCAGAGCTGGCAACCTGTTGGCACACCAAAATATGCCAGCTTTTGTGTTCTTGATAAAGGGAGGGGCTGTAGCTCAGTGAAAGAGCATCTGCTTTACACAAGATCAAAGGGAGGACTTCTTCTTCACCCAAAGAGTAATTAACACGTGGAATTCACTGCTGCAGGAAGTGGCGGTGGCTACAAACATAGACAGCTCCAAGAGGCGATTGGATAAACATATGAGGCAGAGGTCCATGAGTGGTTATTAGCCACAAGAGCTAGTGGAACACTCTGTCTGGGGCAGTGATGCTCTGTATCCTTGGTGCTTGGGGGGGTAACAGTGGGAGGGCTTCTGGAGTTCTGGCCCTGCTGGTGGACCTCCTGATGGCACCTGGGGTATGGCCACTGAGTGATGCAGAATGTCGGACTGGATGGGCCATTGGCGTGATCCAACATGGCACCCAGGTTTTGGCCACTGTGTGACACAAAGTGGTGAACTGGATGGGCCATTGGCGTGATCCAACATGGCACCCAGGTTTTGGTGTGTGACACAGAGTGTTGGACTGGATGGGCCATGGGTGTGATCCAACATGGCACCCGGGTTTTGGCCACTGTGTGACACAGAGCGTTGGACTGGATGGGCCATTGGCCTGATCCAACATGGCACTTGGGTTTTGGCCACTGTGTGACACAGAGCGTTGGACTGGATGGGCCATTGGCCTGATCCAACATGGCACCCAGGTTTTGGGCACTGTGTGACACAGAGCGGTGAACTGGATGGGCCATTGGCGTGATCCAACATAGGACCCGGGTTTTGGCCACTGTGTGACACAGAGCGTTGGACTGGATGGGCCACTGGCCTGATCCAACATGGTGTCTCTTATGTTCTTACATGCAGAAGGTCACAGGTACAATCCCCTGTTGCAAATATCAGGTAGGAGGTGATAGAAGAGACCTCTGCCTGAGACGGTGGAGAGCTGCTGCCAGAAGACAGTACTGACCTTGACAGATCAGTGGTCTGACCCCGTATAAGGAAGCTTCGTGTGTTCACGTGACCTGTCCCGCGCCCGTACCGTGAACGATGAGATACACTTGAGAGGTGTGGGGCTTGTCCTGCGTCTGGAAGGAGCAAGTGTAGAGGCCCTCGTCGTAGATGTCGACGTTGGTGATGACGATGCTGAATTCGGAGGCGCTGTTGGTCAGCAGCTGCACCCGCGAGTCGATGGACCACTTGTCATTGCCGGCGTAAAGGATGTTAGGTTCAGACAGGCCACCCGGGTCACCTGCTGGTCTATGTAGCAGCTGTGGGAAAGAGAGAGGGGAGGCAGAGTGAACGGCAGAACTGGGTAGGGAAGGGAGGCCAGTTGCGCCGGGGGGTCGAAGCGGTGTACACTGCATCGGTCAGGCCACACCTGGAGTCTTGTGTGCAGTTCTGGAGGCCTCGCTTCAAAAAGGATGTAGACAGAATGGAGCGCGTGCAGAGGAGAATGAAGAGGATGATCGGGAGGCCCGGAGACCAAGCCCTACGGGGAAAGGCTGAGGGGCTCGGGAGAAGAGGAGGTTATGGAGGAACATGATTGCTCTCACTAAGTATTTGAAGGGCTGTGTCACTTAGAGGAGGGCAGGGAGCCATTCCTGTTGGCAGCGGAGGAGAGGACTCGCAATAATGGGTTTAAATTAAGGGCAGGAAGGTACCAGGTGGATCCTAGGAAAAACTCTTTTACAGGAAGAGTCGTGCAGCAGTGGAATCAGCTGCCTGGGGGGGGGTGAGCTCCCCCTCGCTGGCAGTCTTCAAGCAGTGGCTGGAGAAACACTTGTCAGGGATGCTCTAGGCTGATCCTGCACTGAGCAGGGGGTTGGGCGAGATGGCCTGTCTGGCCCCTTCCAACTCTGTGGTTCTACGATTCTATGACTGTGGGGTGGCTGCACTGTACTCTGAGGCTGTCGTGGCGGGCCATCCGAGGCCGCTTGTGGCAAAGGCAGGTATCCGCCATAGATATGGTTCTGCCAATCTCACAGAAAACATTAGGGAAGTCCAATCTCCTGCTATACTGGGAGAAGTCCTGCCCTGGACCCCTCGTTTCCCAATGCTGCTCAACAGGGTAGCAGGGGAGATGATTTGGCAGCACACTAGTGTCACAATGTCCCTTCCCGGCATGAACCAGAAGTGACATCATCACAACGACGTGACGGTCTAGGATTCACCCACACCTCTATGGTTAAATTGGCATGATGCCAGTCGGGTAGGTCCTTGCTCCCTGCAATCTCTTGCCCGGATGCCAGTGCTGGGCTGGCAACCCCAGACAACACAGGGGAAGGGAGACTGACGTAAGCAGCCTTTGGGTCCCCACTGGGGAGAAAAGTCAGATATAAATAAAAAAATCTTTTTATTATAAGGAAAAACCAGCCATTGGCCAGGAGTGTGTGGGGGGGATACATCATGACAGTAGAGGAGGAGAAGAAGAAGAAGAAGAAGAAGAAGAAGAAGAAGAAGAAGAAGAAGAAGAAGAAGAAGAAGAAGAAGAAGAAGAAGAAGAGGAGGAGGAGGAGGAGGAGGAGGAGGAGGAGGAAGAGGAAGAAGAAGAGGAGGAGGAGGAAGAGGAAGAAGAGGAGGGGCTTAGAATCTCGTGCCCCTTCCCCTCTCCGCAACGGACACCCTGTGAGGTAGGTTGGGCTGAGAGAGCTCTTGAGAGAACTGCTCTTGAGAGAACAGATCTGAGAGAGCTTGTGACTGAACCACATCAGTTGCATGTGGAGGAGTGGGGAATCAACCCCGGTTCTCCCAGATTAGAGTCCACGCTCCTAACCACTACACCAAACTAGCCAGTTGGCAATGGTGTGTGGGCTGTATACTAGGACTGCCAACTCCCAATGAAAACAATTCGGGAGATTTGGGGGTGGAGCCTGGGGAGGGCAGGATATGTGGAGGGGAAGGATCTCATTGGGCTATAATCCCACAGTGTGTCCACCCTCCAAAGACACCACTTCCTTCAGCAGACCCGATCACTCATGATTCCAGGAGGTCTCCAGGCTCCACCTAGAGGCTGAGAGCTATACTTTATACCCACAGAACCTTACTGAGCCAGGCTCTATGGCTCATTTGGCCCATCTACTGTACATGTGAAAAGTATGCGGGTCCGCTGCACACTTAGTCCTAGGGCTGCCAACTCCAGGTTCAGAAATACCTGGAGATTTGAGGGCAGAGCCTGGGTGAGCTGGGTTTAGGGAGGGAAGGGATCTTGATAGGGTATAATGCCATTGCAGTCCACCTTCCAGAGCAACCATTTGCTCCAGCTGAAGTGGAACAATCGTTTTAAATAAATATATAACAAGTGACTTATGTAGTTTGGAGATCAGTTGTAATTCCAGAAGATCTCCAGCCACCACCTGGAGGTTGGCAACAGGATTGCCATTCCCCCGATGAGGGCCAGGGGACCCCCCGATTTCAGGGCCCCCAATCCACCATGGCCCAGCTGACCGGAGAGGGAAGCCCCACCTCAAGACGCCCTCTCCTGGCGCTGCCACCTGGGAGTAATGTCGTCGTGTTTCCGACCTTGGGGGTGACGTTCTAGTTTTGGGCCAAACTCTATGGTTTTGAGGCCCAAAATCTAGAGCATCACCCCCAATGTCAGAAACATGATGAAGTCACTTCTGGGATGATGTCATCGCGGTGCATGCACTTTGCACGTGCACCAGAAGAACCCAATCAAAAACACGATGAAGTCACTTCTGGGATGACGTCATGGCGGCGCGCGCACTTTGCACGTGCACCAGAAGAACCCAACAAAGGATTGGGAGCAGTGTTCCCTCTAAGCTGAGTCAGTGTGAGCTAGCTCACAGTTTTTTAGCCTCAAGCTCACAAGTTTTTGTCTCAGCTCAGGAAGGATGGCTCCTGAGCAACCTAATTTATGCAGCAGCCAAATCGCTCGCTCACAGCTTTAATGCCAGTAGCTCACAAAGTAGAATTTTTGCACACAATACTCCACAGCTTAGAGGGAACATTGATTGGGAGTCGCCCCACTAGCAGCCAGGTAGCTAGTTGGTAAGCCTATGACTCTGAGGGAGGGTGTTCGATGGAGGCCTACTCCGGAGACCTTCTTAATTATCGGTAGCAAGGCCTCAGCCCATTTACCACAGCCAGTCAAAAGACTGGACCCCTTTCTGTCTCTGGGAAAGGAGGAGAGGATGCCGTTGATTATCTCCGCGTGTGCGTGCGCTGAAAGAGAAAGCGGGAGGGAGAGAGAGAGAGATAACTTCTGGGTCCTCCTCGCGGAGGCCTTTGGCTGCCTCTTTCCCCAGCCCTTTGAAGTCCAAAAGCCCATGTTATTACAGCTCCTTTTATCCAGCCCTAAAAACTTGAACGCCTTCCAAACGGCAGATTTGTGAAAATAACGAGAGTTTGAGGTAGTGCTGCTGGTGGGAGAACCGGAGCTCGCTGCAGACTTAATTGCTACCCAGTCGCCTTTGAACGCCATCCGGGCCTTCGACTTGGGCTCCCAGTCCGGACTCTGCCCCCTCCCCTGAGCCCGGGGCCGCCTCTCCTTCCCCCGTTCCTCTGGGCTCCCCTCTCTGCACCCCTCTGGCTTCCAGCCGGGAGATTTAATTATCGGCAAGCGTTTTTCTCTCGCCTGGAAGGCGAGTGGGCGCTAAGTAATCCCCGTTCCTTGGTCCCTGACAGCTGTCAGGCGCAGATTGGACACGCGCTTCGAAGATAAGTGGAGAAGAGTGAGGGGGGAAAACCTTTCTCGCTCTCTCCTTGAAATCAGGACTGACCCCAGAGTTGCCAACTCAGGGCTGGGAAATTCCTGGAGATTTGGGGCTGGCGCCTGGGGGAGGCAGAGCTTTGAAAGGGGAGGGGGGTCAGAAAAAGTGGGGTGCCACAGAGTCCGTGGTATGGGACAAAGCCGCCATTTTCTCCAGGGGGACTGGCCTCTGTCGTCTGGAGTGCCTTTGTAATTCCAGGAGGACACCAGGCCTCACCCTAAACTGACCCTGCTGTTTTGGGAAAGTGGTATTCCTCCACCGTTGCACTGGTGCAGTGGAAATGCTTTGCCAGAGTGTAGGGTGGCAGCTGGAGATCTCCTGGGAATTACGGCTGGTGTCCAGGCGACAGAGATCAGTTCCCCTGGAGGAAATGGCTACTTGGGAAGGTGGACTCTATGGCATTGTGCCCCATTGAAGACCCCGCCCTCCCCCAAACCCGCCCTCCTCCGGCTCCACCCCCCCAAATCTCCAGGTATTTCTTAATCCAGAGCTGTCAACCCTACACCCTATCAGAGTGTGTCCCCACAGTACCATAGACAGGGTCACCACACATCCACCAGAACGACCCCCAACTCTTCAAGGCTTCAAAGTATTCCTTACGTGGGATGGCGTGATTATTTTAAAAATAAAAATAAAAAGCAGAAGCAAGATGCTGGAATATTGAACAATGGAGAGGAAAGGGGTTGAATGACCCCTTCTTTGTCAGCCATAGTTGTGCTCAAAATGGCGTCCTCTAACTGCTTTTCTTCCCAGAGGAGGCAAAAAGTTGCCCCTTTCACATGCTCTCCCCAGGGGTCATTTCGTAGAAAAAGAGGTGCAGGAGCTCATTAGCATTACTCATTCACATAACTTATTTGCATGTGCCACACCCCCTGACATCACCGGAAGTGTGTCAGAAGGCAACACCCACCGCTCAGGCTCCGCTGGATTATTTTGGATTACTAGCTGTTTTGGGGGGGAGGAACGTGCAGATCTGTCCTGGCAGAGGAGGGAGAGCTTGTACCTGAATAAAACTTGGTCTTAAAGGTGCCACTGGACTATTTTGGACTGTTTTGGATTGCTAGGTATGGGGGGGGGGCTCTGCAACTTACCTATCTGCTTCTTGCTCCTCGTGGCCCGGGGCTGCTGGGAGCAGGGGGCGGGGCTTGTTGCATGTGCCCACCCCCTGGGCTCTTTACTGCCGGAGCTCCGCTCCTGTGCGCTCCTGCAGGAAATGACCCCTGGGCATTATACCCTGCTGAGATCCCTGCCCTCCCAAAACACTGCCCTCCCCAGGTTCCAACCCCCAAATCTCCAGGCATTACCAAACTCAGAGTTGGCAGCCCTGCTGTTATGGCTAGGGTTGGCAATTCTGAGTTAGAAATACCTGCGGGGGGGCCTGGAGAAGCATCTTCTATTACACTGGATCTCCAGACAACCAGGATCTGTTCTCCGGGAGAAAATGGCTGCTTTGGAGGATGGACTCTCTGGCGTTACACCCTGCTGTGGCCCCCTCCCCAGGCTCCACTCTCAAAATCTCCAGCTATTTCCCAAACCAG